AGCTCGCCGACGCTCGCCAGCAGTACGCCGCCCTCGCCGGCGAACTCGGCGATGCGACGCGTAAAAGAAGCGGACCTGCGCGCGCGTATACGCGAGCGCGACCGCGCCATCGACGACGCCGAGAACCAGATCAAGACGCTACAGGCGGAGCGCGATCGGCTCGTCAAAGAAGTCAGCCGACTCAACGACGAGCTGAAGCCCTTCACTGCGCGCCGCGGTCCTGGGTTCTCTGGGCCCCGCTTCGTACCGCACGGCCACGATGAAGGCTGGGGCGGATCCACGCGCGGCCGACCGCGCGTGGACACCGAGCTGCCCACCGGGGCCGCCAACATCCAGCCACCTCCAGGACCCGCGATCGCGTCTGCTACGGCGGCGACGACCGCGGGCACCCGAGAGCGCGACGGACCCGCCCAGTCCACCGTGCCGCCCCGCACGCAGAGCGGGAACCCAAAAAGGGCAACCACTCGGGCGCCCGCGCGGGAAGCTAATGCCGCGACCGCGGCCACGCCTCCAGCCGTGGTGGCGGCCCCGGCTCCGGTTCCTCCCACGCAACCCCTCACTCCAACCGCCGCCCACGCGACTCGCCCCACGGCTCAGTCCATGGGGGTGGATGAGTTTGAGTGGAACCTGATGACGGAGGCCGAACGCGAGAACCACGGCATTCTGCGCCGTCAAGGGCAGATGGACGTGACACTCGAGGTCTCCGGTCAGCCACTCTCCGCCTGGTACCGATGCTGGTCCAGCCCACCGGCGTCCATGGCGGAGTCGTACGAGGCGATGGAGCAGGATGATGAAGGAGACACGGACGAGGCCGGGGACGATTTGTTCCCCGGCATCGATCTCGTGTTCTCCGACCCCATCACCTCCTTCGCCAGCCAGTTGACCAAGGCGGCCCACGTCAAAGAGGTCAACCGGGCAGCTAGGGCGAAGGGAGTCGACACCATCGATCCACTCCCACCCGCTGACAAGCCCGAGTTCGGGGCGTGGGCCGGCACCAACATCCAGACTGTGGTGCAGGCCCACAACCTGCACTGGTGGGCTTTCGTCGAGTGGGACGAGGATGCCCTGCGATTCTACAAGTTCGTCACCACGATATACCAAAGCCCGGCTCACGTCCGGCCTGAGGGTATCCGGTACTTGCAGAAACTGCAGGGCGCGGACGCCGCCCGCCGTAAGCAGCACCTCCGGCGGGCCATCCCACGCCCCGTTAATGCACCCCGCGATCACCTTGGCCGCTACCCCGAGGCCGCCGCCGACATAGACGTCGTGTGTCGGTTCTTCAGGTGCGCGTCGGTGAACGCCTGGCCGTCCGGGATGAGACTGGCCTCGGGTGCATTGCCTTCTGGCGATGGATTCGGGGTTCCTCTCTCTTCGGACTGTCGGGCCTTTTTCCTGCTGTGGCATTTGTTGCCTCAGCGGGCCAAGAAGAACCCCCACCACGAGCACGACGCGCGCATCCGTACCCTGGCCATGGAGTTATTCTCCATTCCTGGTTGGTACGAGCGCATCGTCGCGGCCGGAGAGTTCGTTGGGCAACCCCAGGAGGCTCCCATCCGCTACCCCTACCCCGCGGATGACGCCTCCCCCATCCTCCTCTCCGCGTGGTTCTGTGTCCATGGTGTTGCACTGGACCGCGACGTCATCGCCTCCATCCGCCACTGGGCCACCCGCTCGCGCAACGAGTCACTCGGGCGCGTGCTCGACGACGCTTCCCCGTGGCCGGCACCCCCCATCGACGTCGACTCCGTCACGTCCGCCGCCGAGATCGCCCTCGTCGTCAAATACGATGAGCTGGCCTGGGGCCCACGCCTCCTCGAGACCCACGAGTCCAACCACGGCGACTTCGACGAGCTGGACGACGGTGAGGACATATAGCCGACTACTATGAGGGCGGCGCCATCATCATCCCTGCGCTCGCCGCCCTCGGCTACCCGTCGATCCCCCCCACTCTATCCGCTGCCACAGCACGCGCTCGTCGTCGTCAACCGCTCATCATCACTCATCCGAGGGATTGGGTCAATCCGGAGAGGGAGGGTGTAAGGATTCGGTGGCCGTGGCAGTGCCGCGGCCGGGCTCTGGCGCTTAGGCGCCCGTGGGTAGTGGCTGGACTGGGACTGTATAGCACCACTCCGGGGCCTCAGCGCCGCCGTTCTCCTCATGTATCCTCATCTATCACGCCTATACTCAAGACTTTGTGCAACTCACACTGGTTTGATAAGGCGACCGCACCGTTACTTACA